ATGTTTGGATGGACTGAATTCTTTTCTATATAAACAGGAATATTCATTTCTGTGTTACAGAAAATAATTAATGCTAATTTTGCAAAACTTCCCATTGTCTATGGCTTTGGAAGCCATCTCTCTACTTTTTGCAGCTGTTCAAAATTCAAAATCTCACGAGTTTTTTCATGTGTTCCTGTAAAACCCTGACGAGGGGGTGGTGTGTGATCCTGTTCCGAGAACAGTGTTCTTGAGTCGTGTTCCCGCCGTTCGAGCGCGAGAACAAGAAACCCCGTGTCAAGAACAAGCCGCCCGAACTCGACCCACAAGTCTTGTGACTTCTCAGGGTACCTTGTGGCAGAGCTAGAAACTTGTTATACGTTGTAGTTTTTGTTAGCGCCTTTTCATAGGAGTTGTTCCCCTCTAAAAATACAGTTTTGTTTAGAATTCCCCTGGATTTTTCTGTTAGTGTATCCCCTTATTATTTACTTTGGACCTTGCTTCTACCCATATAACTTGACTTAGTTTTGAAGAGCAGACCAGCAGAGATACTATCTCTGTTCATTTGTTCCTCCTAACTGGAGTGTGCGTTTCTGCTTGAGTCAGGTTCCTTTCTGCTTCTATGCCATCGGTGTCAGTGTGATCGAAAGCCAAACTCTCCTTATTAGGTCCATTTTACATACTGTGTTGGTTTTTTTTAGTCTTTTGGTTTAAGTCTTTTAAGTCCTTTAGTTTTTTGCATTTTTCCACTACTTTTTCATTAATAAATTCTTTTTATCCTTTTTAAAGTCAAATATTGGTGTCTGAGTCCTTATTAATTCAGTTGCCGGTGACTTTTCCTTCAAAGATCCTTGGTTTAGTTAGAGTCTTTGTTGTTTTGCGAGTTCCCCATACTGAGTGTGTCGTTTTCCCCCGTTACACTTGCTTCAGCGTCAGTCACGGTAAAGTACATGTACATTGTACATCTACTGTGGTACTATCATTCGCACGTCACTTCCAAATTCTGAAATAATTAAAGAGCCCAAAAAGTAAAAAGCCTCTGTCGTCGACTTCTACTCGTGGGAATATTACATGGTTGTACATTTTTAGCTACATGTGTTTAATAGCTAAACGGTAATACCATGGAGGTAGGAAAATGGCAATATATTGTACTTCCTCACGGTGAGGGCCGAGGGCACCTGTACGTTTCCGGAAGACGCTGCCAGTCTTTGTGTCGAGTAATTCAAGTTGGTTTACTAATAATGACGACACGGCGGATAAATGGTGGGATGGACAGTGGTTTGAATTGCGGTTTTTTGACGCACCAAAGCTGATTCTGGTATTTATTTGTATGAGAAAGTGTACTGATATGATGAACATTCATCAGGCCTAAAGGTGAAGTTTGGGTTTGCGTACGGTAGGCACTGGCTTGAACCCCCCTCCCGCTGTGCGCAACGGCACCAACTCCTTCCCCTTCGTGCGTAGTGACGGCCTCTAGTATAAAAGGATCGCTGGGACGAACTTGAAGGAATGTTCGGCAGGTCTTCGAGTGCGCGCTGGGTGCCTCGCCCCTAGTCCCTTTCGTGATCATGATAACGACAATGGCGAGACTTACAAATGCTGAAATTGTTACAAAAATTATTTGTACAAATCTATAGAGACTAAATGAAGTACTGTAGATATACAGAACAACTCACTTTCGAAGCAAAGTGTAAGTTTATGCAATGCTTTTGTACCCCAAACCTGTGAACGGGAAAAAAAAAACAGTACACGGAAAGGAGACCACGTTAAAACGATGTGCCATCGGATATCCATGAAGTACATGTACAGTGTACGTACTGTACGCTTTCTGAGCATAATATAATAATATGCATATGACGCACGATGTTCTCCGTGGTCCCGGCGCCTTCTCCATCTTTCCGAAAAAACAGGCTACCAACTTAACGTGGACACAAAGCATATTACAGCAAACAAGTGTGAGACAATTAAGGAGGCATAATGTCAGTCTATGTTTCTTCTTTGCGGCTGTCATTGAGGGGGGTATCTTCGAAGAGCGAAGGGTCGATGTTGGGCTTTAAGAAAAATTGATGAATATTAATTCACCAATACCAGTTTCAATACCGGTGCGACTTAAGTGTTACTGTGTTAACCGCTGAACTAGAAATGAATTCACCTGATGTTTGACCTCGACCTAGCTTCGGTCTCAGGCTATGATATGCGTGCACTGATTCCTTTATACAGGCTTCGCCAGTGAAGACCGTCAAAGTCATGTGACAACAGTCGTGTGGATTTTTCCGGTGTTATTTTTCTCCTCCAGGTCTCCGGGTGTCACTTGTTTATGGGATAACGTGACTCAGTGCCCAAGTTTCGAAATCACATTCTGCAGAAGCCTTTGACTGTACCTGGTACAGCTAGAGAAGGCATGACTAGAGCAACGAGATGAGGTTACCGGTGTTGACGACCATTCTGACCGCAGTAGTCTTAAGAAGCAACGGACTGAGTAAGTTACCGTAATGTGCTAATAACAAATAAACATTAAAAGAACCCTCTATGTTAAAATAAGCCGTCAGTCCGCAGCACACTCGTTCGGTTTACGTGCTACCATGGAGGCGAGGTGGGAAAGTGAACTTTTTTGACCTGTCTAATGCACAGTAATGAGCTGAGGCAGCGTAGCAAATTGGACAGCCTTTCACAAGCGGACTTAGATAATAAATTAGCTAACTGTTGTGAAATTACTAAGAAATGACTTATATACCTTCCATGTTACAATGTATTTCGGAGATTTTGTTGAGGAAAAGATGTGAAAAATGCGAAGATAAAAATGTTTCGAAATGAGGAATTGTGCGTCACAGAAGACATCGAATTTCACGCTTTAAAAACACTGTCACAACCCAATTTTAGTACAGGTTAGCAGATACATTCATGTTCTGGGATACTTAAGGCATACCAATACCATATTTTTTCTAGATGGTTCAAAACACAGTTTTTGCCAACGTTCCTCATTAACTTTGAAACGTCGCGGTTCACGCTCCATGACGCGTTCGTGGACGGCCTCCATGAAACTCCGGCTTCCTGATTGGTCAATATGCATTACACCATGAAGTCACACGCACGGTCCAGGATGTGTATGTTGCTTTTTAGACTGGGGATGGGTCTTTTTGTGATGTAACGGTGGGCTGGATAGCCAAATTACAGAGGAAAATGAAATATACACAGAAAAAGATACCAGCAAATTACAAGCATGTTCAGGCAAGAATAAACAAGTCACTTTATTGTCAGAGTGATGTATCTTTTAATCTGTTTGGTTTAGAAAAATACAAAATGTAACTTTCATTTACTGTTACATAGATTAATATCCTCGAGATGCTTATGATGTAATACAATAATTAAAAATCCAAATATTCACTTATGTACTGCTATTTTAATTTCGTTTTTTCACAAAGCCATGTGCATCATATTTTAACGCAGTAAAATAAATATAAATAATGCTCTCCTCTGTAAAAATAAGGCACTTGTCATGTGAGAAAACAGTCCAAGGCCTGGCAAGTGTTTGAGTTAATTAAACAGTACTATTAGTAATGTACAATAAATTGTGAAAGCATCACAGTAGAAGAAAGACAAATTTTAATAGATATCAACGTACAATAACCACTGAATATGCATTGCATATTTCACTTCATTTGCTTCAGAACAATTTAAATAACTTCAAAGCTCACTGAAATACCTGTTCCCTGTACATGATGTCTTTGTGCTGTAGCATTTTTGCAAAGCTATCATGTCCAAATAATAGATTTAAGAAAGCATCATCTCTCATGATGAAAAACAACCTATAACCATTGACTTGAATTTCTTCAAGTCACTGTGGAGTAAAGCACGCGGCAGATTGTTGGTGTCAGTGTGAATGACAACAATGACTGGTGGGTCAATGACATAACATAATCCTTCAAGTTCACAACTCTCTGTACAATCTTCCTGCGAAGGTGGCCCCTGGATAGGTCAGTACATCCACGCTGCACAGGTACACGGCTTGAAATGTCCTCCTGCAGGCATCGGTTCAGGGAGTCACCAATCATGATGGCACGGATATGGTGCACCGTTTGGGAAGATGGAGGTCTTCATGGTGGTAGTTTTGCCCACACCAGTGGTTGGCATAACCTGCAGTATGTACAAAGAAGGGACAATTTTTATATAAAATTTCAAAGTATTTCAACTGACAATTATGTAAGAAAGGACCAATCATAGCTAACAGTGCATATCATTTTTCACAGTTTTGTCAATGCCATAGCCATTAAATAGTGTTTATCATCCGCACCATCATTATGCAAATATGCAGGGAAACGTCTGGTGATAGCACTGCAAAAACGTATACAGAAAAACATTCTTTACTTCAGACCTTGTATTTGAATGTGCCATGTTTCAAATTATTTTGTATGACTTTTCAACAAGGGTTATTACAAAAATTAGCAAATTATTTCACTCAACGTCTTTTACTATTTATCTTTTTAAGATGGGGACTTTGAAACAGGTCAATTCATATGCGTATAACTTGTCTGCAGACCAATTTGTACACCGACCAATTCCTACATATGTTTGCTGGACGTGTTTGAGTTGGTCAGCGTATGAGTTGGCAGTCGTATGAGTTGATCAGCATTCAAGCATAAGGCAGAGTTACAAATATGGCACCAGTGATTATTCCCTATAATGACCTATAGTATTCATGGTATCAGCCATTAAAATGCAAAAACATGTCCATAAAAATTAAAATTAGGAGGGAAAATAGCAAGTCGCTTACTGAGAAAACAGAATTTCTTGATCAGTCTCATAGGGTGTACACAGGGTGTCAAGTGGCATCCGTACACATACGTGGAACTCTTTCCTAAAGGGCTTAATATCTCTCCCCCCCACACACTTTGTAAATGCTCCTTGAGTTCGCGGCCCAAGAAGCCTACAGTTACCATGGTTATAACTTACAGCAATTCCTACACCCACTCCTCATTGTCCATTAATTGGCCTATACTGCACTGCCAACCCAAAACACACTGTAGAACGACGCGCAACAAAGGATGAAATATTGACGGAAAATCAAAATCTCGCGCTACAAAAAAGTGTTGCAAAAGCAAGAGGCAAGCTCCCACAAGTCAAAAGTTGTATGAAACGAAAACTGAACGCTTCATCGTTCGATCTGTAGTCAATCTGGATCTGGATAATTGAACAGCTCCAACTGGAACATCACTCAATTCAGGTCAGAGGTCAGAGAGGCATCTAATCAAACAGCTTTTCAGTCTGTCTTCTGAATGTAGATGAATATTGAACTGATGTGATGTTATATGGCAGCTGATTCCAGTCTCTGGTTGTTGTAGGGAAGAATGACTGCTGAAGAAATTTAGTTCTCGTTGAAGGAACTGTTAGTGATAGAGGTTTGTGGGACCTTGTTTTCCTAGTGTTGACATCCCTCGTGTTGAACTTCAGGTAATCTTCAACTTGCAGATCTACATTATTGTGAGCTATTGTGAGTACCATAACTAATCTCAGACAAAGTGCTGGGAGTTGAAGGTGTTTGAGCATAGCTGTAACTGAACTTTTTTGTGTCCGATTTTTTTGGCATACAGGCAAACACCCAGCTAATGCATTTCATTGTCCTGCTAATGTATTTACCTTCAGACACGCGTTGCCAGTTTCCTTTCCTTAAACATGTTCAAAAATAATAACTCTTATAGGAATGTCACCTTCCTTATTACTGCTGATATTGTTTAATTGTTATTTTACTTTGTGTGTGTGTGTGGGGGGTAGACCCCTGATCCCCTCCCCTGGATCTGCGCATGAAGACCGCGAATGTGACTTCAGTGTGGGAAACGCACCGCACTGGCTCGCAACCCTTCTTCAGTGGTTTCCAGCGTTTGAACGCGGGGCCAAACTTGAATTTTTTTCCCAAATATTTTTTTTAAAAAAAAAACTAAAATCCGTACTGCGCCCCCGAAAGGAGGAAGTGTTGAAATGTAATGAGCGCTTTCAATTTCTTTTTAAAATGGCAGTATGTCCCATGGAGGTAAATTGATTGACCCCACACCACTGCCAAGCCTCCGTGAGAAAAACTGTCCAATTTGTCTGTAAAATAGATGCGTTGTGACTTGGTGAAAGAAATCCCATTAATTGGCTTAGGAGAGTCAGGTTGGTGTAGGGGTTCTTTCCTCGCCATTCATCGGTGAGGCCAGACTAAGGTTCCCGGTCCAGCCCACTCGAGGATTGGGTTTTCAGTCCCCGCTTGATTTGTGGGGTACACCCAAGTATTTCTCTAAGGGTTTTTCCTTCCACCTCTAAAGCTTGCAATTGCTCCTCTCTACACTACAGGCGTCTTCAGGTCTACATGTACATGTACAAACTACAGTACCTGGTGCGCTTTTAAAGAATCTTTGGTTTCATCACCAGAAATGCTTAATGATAAGTAATAAAATGATATATTCAAATTTCCCTCGGCCCTCAGTGCCTTCATAATTAATATTCATAAGTGATATGTGACGTTTGTGCTCAAGATGACCTGGTGGTTTTAGAAATTTGGAACAAAACACTAGCAAACTAAACCGAAACTTTAATTAAAGTCCAGATTGTGTCCGTTGGAGTTGATCCAACTCCCCTTATCTCTGGGAATCGAGAAGTTAATGAGCCACTTGAAATCTGACACAAATCGCACTCAAACATTAGACTGAGCAATGTGCATCAGTCTGGACCATTAAAGGTAGTCCAGGGAGAAACGAATATAACAATTAAGCAACCATTGTCGAGCGAAATTATACCGGGCAAATGGAAAACACAGACTTACAATAACGCTGCCAACCGAGGCATGCAGTAAAAGGGTGTTTCTCGCGGCCCCGCTGGATGCAACCTTCAAGATCTCGGCCAATGTGAGGGCTTAATTCAACTTCTTATGATCGTAAAAGCCTCCTTTGTGGTACTAATGGAGCATGAGATGGAACAATGGAGAAATAGAACAAATCCAATGGACCGAATTAGATGGGTTTGGGTGGGATTCAAGCCTGGGTCCCACAAGATAAAGTGGAGAAAGTAACAGCGCTATTGACGTTTCCCCACTTAACGCTGACGTCAGGTGGCGGACACCCTTACAAGTCGCTACTAGTGGCTCCACACTAAACACAATATGTGATTAGAAGATGTCCAATCTTGGTCAGTCAATTGCCATATTGATCAGTTTACCTGTATAAGGTTTTTACGTCTTGAAAAAATTCCTATACTTTTCTTCACGTGAACGCCAAGTCTTATTTGTCAACGCGCTTCTTTCGATTTTCAAACAGCCGACGTACTGCATGATCATGAACATATAAAAGATCAAGAAAAAACCATCAAAGTGTCCATACGATCAGACAGAAGGACATCACGATAAGATGGATAAAAAGGAGATGAACGGATATGAATCAAAATGACCGAAGCGCTTTTAAAAAGCTCGAAAGTGGTGCCATATGCACAGATGTTGATATTCATTATTTTTAAATCGTCGACAAACACAGTATTACTTTTGAGGTCTGTTTTCAAATGTATAATTTTAAGTTCTTAATTGTACACTCTTGTCTGGTTTGCACAGGTCAGTATGACTTACGTCTCGTGGGAGGTAACAATAGTCTAGAGGGCCGAGTTGAGGTGTATGTGAATGGCACGTGGGGAACAGTCTGCGATCAGAAATGGGACTTGGTTGACGCCACAGTCACCTGTAGGCAGCTGGGCTACGGCATGGCTTGGTCAGCCGTTTATGGCGCTTATTTTGGCCAGGGCAGTGGCAAAATAGTTTTTGCCGATGTTGAGTGCCTAGGCTGGGAGGACAATCTTCACAGTTGCCTGATGAACACCCATAACAACTGTACACACTCCCAAGACGCTGGAGTTATTTGCACTGGAACAAATTATACCACAGGTGAATCAAAATGAATTCCCAACTAACCCTGAGTGATGGAGTTCTCATTTGTCTTGAGTATCAAGCCTCATAAAGACAATTACAGGGAAATTGATCGTACAAGCAGTGTTTAATTAATCCCGTCTTCCTAATAGAGGAAAAGCCCAGATTTGGCAAACGACTCATCAAAGGAATTTAAAGCTAACGTCTGTATCTTTGAAGAAAGGCATTTAAAGGCGACCAAAATGTGAGCAGGCTGTTGAATGAAAAGTCACCAAAATGTGTCCCTGGGGTTCCTAGCAGTGTGCAATATTACCCATTATTCACTTAATGTGCATTATCATCCTTATATCGATAGATAATCGATCCCTCATCGATTATCTTTTTTACTGTATCATCCTTATAGTTTGAACCTATGAGGCTGCGGCCGCTCACTCACACTTTTATTCCCTTTCCATACAATTTCATTTCGAACTTGTTTATTGGCAAGTCATTTTTTGGCTGACAAACGTACTCTCCCATCAATTATCATATTTTCTCCAGGTGAATATGACGTTCTACTCGTGGGTGGTAGCAGCACCCTGGAGGGCCGCGTGGAGGTGTACGTCAAAGGTCGTTGGGGAACAATCTGTGATGATCAGAACGGTTGGGGGATGAATGAAGCCAGCGTGGTATGTCGGCAGTTGGGCTTTCGAAGCGCTAAGAGGACTTCAAGACCGCACGAATTTGGGCGGGGCACAGGAGATATCGTTCTGGGTAACGTCAGGTGCAATGGATCGGAGAGCAACTTACAGCAGTGTGTCCGGCATGAAGACTCCCACGTCTGTTTGCAATACATAGCGGTTGGCGTAGTGTGTAGCAACAATGAAAGAGGTAGGCAGAATTAGGCATTATTCCCGCGAGCTTTGGAGAAAGTAAACTCGGGAAGCGCTGTAAAGCAAAGTCAGATAGACGGAGTCCTTCTCGTCTATGTGCGTTCAAAGGACCCCCTTACCCACTGCACCAACGGTAGATGAATGCACCTCTTGTCCGCATGCATATGCATGCAAATTGTACCGGATTATATTTTATGTAGCATTTCTTTTAGTATTTTCGAGATCTGGTTTCAATTTGGACGGGTGCTTCAGTGAATTACTGCTCAGTGCCTTGGTGTGTCAGGAGGTGTTTTCTTCCAAACACTTCTCATAGATGGAGTTTTGACCATACATAAAAGGAGAAAGCGCTGACAATGATCTGGAGATTTGAACGGCCACTTTGTGCCTTGGCTGTGCTGCTTTTAATGTAGTCTGACATAATTATAAGCGCCGGACACATTACACAATACTAATAATTACCGCTGGTCACAATAGCAACAATTGACTGGATGTTCAAAATATTCCCCACATGGCAAATATATCGACGCCTCATTCAGACTAAAGTGACTTTTCACCTGTCTTTTCATCCAGTTAGGGTCATGATTGGTTCACTCTGCCCATGAGATGTGTGCAAACCAAACAGAAGACTTTTCTGTTTTTGTGCTTTTATTTTTCCATAGACGAATATGATATCCAGCTCGTTGGTAGCTCTATCGATCGATGGGGACGAGTGGAGGTGTACGTTGACGGTACTTGGGGCACGATCTGCGGTGAGGGATGGGATATCGACGATGCCGCAGTAGTGTGCTGGCAGCTGGGTTACGGCAAGCCTACCACAGCCCCTGATGAGTGGGGAAACTATGGCCAAGGCAGCGGGGACATATTCAGTGTTACTTGCAGAGGCACGGAGGACTTGTTGATTAAATGTACATGGGGTTATGTGAACAACTGTGATTACTCAACAGACGCCGTGGTTGTCTGTAGCCCACCAGGTAACCAACGTAGGAATTCATCGTTATTTATAACCTGACTTCTGACAGCTGACTGGCTCGCAGTGGATTAAACCGTCTTTTACACCTTGATTCAAATCCTGTTTGGTAACCTACAATGTACCGATGACGTCTGTACTGTGTAGATGGACATTCATTAGTAGTTACTAAGATGAAGTAGTAGATATTTGAACTGTTTTTACCTTGTCTCTCCTGTTCTCTTGAACACTGTCCAAACGGAGATTGCTTTGCTAATATGGAATTCCATATCTGCCGTCGCCCGTCGTGCGTCGCCCATCGTGCGTCCCCCGTCGTCCGTCGTGCGTCGCCCGTTGTGCGTCGCCCGTCGTCCGTCGTGCGTCGCCCATCAAATGGGTTGCATAGGACCTGCAAAAGCCGTTGTTTAACAAATGACAATGTGATGATTCCATTCACTTCTAAAGTTCTTTTCCGAATAAGGCAAGTACAAGTCCCACCTGCAAAGCATATACTAGTCGCATAATTAATTCCAATAATGCTAGACTACCCCTGCCCCTTGACAAGAAAATATCGCCTCTCTGAGAATTCAACCAAGTGTTTTTTGGGGAAGAACATTTTCAGCAAAAATGTTTCGGCCAACTTATCCACAGTGTTATTCTAATTTGCATACTGTAAAAACGTGCCGACTTGTTTTCATCAAATTCCAGGAAGAAATCTGCCAACCGATACAGATATTCTATCTTGTCCTCTATTTCACCTTGAAATCCAGAAATACTAGACGTGCTGTGGATAACAAACTGTTTATTAAATGTATTGTTAAGGGGCAATTACCACTTGGTTTAAGTTTCAGAAAATATGACGTGTTGGTTTTTCTGGGTGTGTATGCCATGGTGGATAGACCAATGAGAACAGGTTTTCCAGCACATCAGCATTATTTATGGGGCTAACAAGTAACGTTTCTGTTTAAAAGACTTCTGTGAGCCAACCTGCAAATAAAGTCATGTCTAATTTGGAGTATACAGCAGATTTCATCATAAGTATACCCGCCCTCAAAATAATGTTGAATCAGTTCGTCTCTTATGAAAACTATTGGGAATCAAACATTGTAAATAATCTATTATTTACATTCCATTCTGTGGGATATCGTGCAGGGACAGACAGAAATATCACATAGGCTATAGACCTAAAGTCTGGCGGTCAACGAGTAAAGTTACGTCTAGAGTAACTAAGTTATCGAGAAAAACAATCTTNGTTGGCAATTGAACCAAAAATTTACATTTTCCATGCCAATTTAATTGTTTTCATTCGTGAAATTAGCGTGATTAATTCCGAATTGATCGGCTTAATGCACATCGTTGTCTTAGCAACCACAATCGCATAACATCACAAGGGGCAAACGCTGCGGCGTTCTCTCATAATGGCCAAAGATGGTAAAGGCATCAAAACTCAAGTTTCTGCAGTGTATGTAAAATGTCTCTCCTTTTTAGCAGAAAAGGGATCTGTGCGATTGGTTGACGGGGCTTCACTCTACGAAGGGCGTGTGGAGATAAATGTAGGCGGGATTTGGGGAACGATTTGCGATCGAAATGGTTATTGGGATAAAGATGAAGCTGATGTTGTCTGTGGTCAACTGGGTTACAGCTACGCTAAGTCGTCAAAGAAGGGTGAGTTTTTACTGCACGGATACACCCACACGTTCTTGCCCACCAATAGGCCAATAAGCAAGTTAAAATTGAGTAAAAGCGGGTACACTGAATACCCTAGATTCATGTGAACATAAGTACGGACACTGTTGCTGTATCTCGTGATTCGGGGAAAGTTTTATCCTACATAAGAGACACCTTGTACCTGTACTCCACCTTGTGTCTTCCTTGTTTTGGGCATTAGCCATATATAGAGCTATGAAATTAATATAGCTCTGCAGCATGACTGGTTCTACATGAACTGACGGTCTTCGTGAGGCTCATAATGTTCTTGCAGTTTGCCATCCATTCTCATCCTTTACGATCACAGACCCCCAGCTGCACTGTTTTCATTGCCCACGTACAGAAAATTTCAACAATACCTGTTTCGAACATTTAAGAGAAAACTAAGTCGTTCTGGAAAAAGGAAATACCATTTGTCTTCTGTTTTTGAACAGGCCTGAGACTAATATCTCTCTGAGACGAAAACGTTATTGTGGCAGACTAGACCGTGGATCGATTCACCCATTTTTATGTCATTTCCAAAGCAATGTTGCACTTGGCTATATAAACCTCTTACTTCTGATTATGAATGAAAGCGTTGCAATTTCAAGTATAATAGTGATATAGTGATAATAATTAGCATGTCCAATTTTTGTCCTGATTTTAGTGTACATGGGTACAGGGACTGCTCCTATCTTAATTGGTGACGTTATCTGTAGCGGTTACGAGAGCAAGTTGGATGACTGTTCCTTTACTGACGCATCGATGGCCTGTATTCACCAAGATGACGTGGGGGTAGAATGCATCCAATCCCCATCGGGCTGTAAGTTTGTCGTCAGGACTCAGGACTTTAAGGTCTTCATTTTCAGCACTGCTGTTTTTGTGTCATTTCGACAGTTACGCCCACAAACATCAAAAATTATAAATAAGAAAGATATGGGATTATGTACGAACTACAGTCAAGATGAGAAGAGTGGGTATTGGAGAAAACGGCTCATGTTTCGAAACAAAATAAATCCCCCATTTAGTAATGAAACTGAAAACTTGGTCTGAATATCGAGTCTATACTAACGCCCTTTACTGAGGCCTACTTTATTAAATGAAGATAATTACACAACCATACGATGGCAAACACTTGTGGAATACGGCATTGTTCAAGTTTCTTTTCTTTTTAAGAGTAGAGCAAGGAAGTCAGAATGACATTCTTTCAAAATTTTCGAGAATCGATTTCACAGTACGATTTTCCTTTTTCAGCCGGATGTAATATTCTTCAACGAGACGTGACTCGAAAAATTGTGAAAGTGCAGTCTCATTGTTTTGGGTATTCTTATTACTTTTACAAAACATAACGTCATCATCCAGTTTTCTAAATGCGTATAAAAGTCATTAAACGCCCTCTGTGGACTGATACATGCACAATTTGATCAAGGGACCCTAAATTTGTTTATGAGGTCCCAACTCTTGATATCACACGACGCCATTATCACCGTTAATCTGTGTTCCCCTTCCCACAGCTTGGTCCACAGCAGCAATTGTGGGTATCGTCATCGGTGGGATTTTCGCTGTTGTTCTCCTGTTCAGTTTGAGTGTCAAGGTTTACAGGTCATCTGTCACACACTCGCCTGGGGCGCCACAGGTACGCAACCTTTGTAATACTATTCATGTATTTTGATTCTCACTGACATTTTTTGATCAGGCAGGGATCCGGGGGTTAGGCTTTGATTAAAAACAAGGTTCAAAAAATGGGAAAATAATAAAATCACTTAAGTCAGTGCACCAATACCATTTTATACAATGTGTGTCATATAATGCAATAAATGAGACATTGAATGACCCCTCTCGGAAAAAATCCTGGATCCGCCCCTGTTGACGCCTGCGGATGTGTAGACTTTTCAGTTGTAACGTTGTGTATTTGGATCTTTGTAAGCGACCATGAGAAGATGTACTAGACTATCACCTTGGCCCAAACCAACTCAACTCAATCTCAGTACATCAGTACATATTTTCTTCCTTGACAGGTCTCTCGGTCTCGGACATCCCATGATGATATTGTGGGACTTGCCCGGGCAACATCTCAAGACGACAGTGTGTCCGACTCTTACAGAGACCTCCCTCCGCCATACAGTGACGTCATTAGCGGGTCATCAGCCTACCCAGTGGTCCATTCAGGCGGTCCTTGTTCGTTGACTACGCCCAGTCTTCGAGATCCTCCTTCTAGTCAGCCCTGTCCGCCCAGCCCGCGATGTTCCACAACCCCCCTGCGTTAGAAAACACGCTCGATCAGGTTTCCAGTGAAATCAACCCGTGTCACACTCCATCGCAGACTCAACAGTACCCCGATAACCACCCAACCGATGAACTCCCCTCATATCTAGTGTTGTAGATATGGCATACCACGCAGTAACAACAGAGAACTCTTTGGCTCTTTTTGCTTGGCTTTGACCGTAATTCCAACACCAAACATCTTGCATAATCGTGATTTTTAAATGGTTGGGTATGACATTTCGCTACAGTAAAATCCAACTCAAAACAGTTAGTAATGATGTAGATTTACAAAATTAAAAGTGGATTTGTGAATAAAACACACAAAAAGCAGATGAAATCGATTGGAATATTTGTAAAAAGGGGTTTATAACAGGATTTTCTTCATTAACAATGAAACCGATTTACCTGCTTAAAAGGCGTTTCTGTATTTCAGTGAAGAGAAAAAGACACAGTTGTTATATATTGAAACAAATAAGTGCAAAGTTAGCCTTAAGGCGCATTTTCGTATGTACGTTGTTCGGGTGTGTTACGTACACGATGCGTTCATGCGTTTCACTTTCATGGACACAAAAATTGACCCACATAACACACGTGTGCCGTCAAAATCGCTCCCGACAGATACGCAACGCTTGGTGCAAGTGTTGACACGCATATGGAAATACGCTTTAATTAAAACTTCTGTGTGCGTGTACTTTGGTCCATCTTGTACCATTCTGGTACATATTGTATGAGGATTTTCAGTTACGAGATTTTTGACGATCAGCTTTCAATTTACACAAATGTGCGCAGAAACGCACGCGCATTCGAAGTCTCTTAACATTCTTGCGTACCTGAAACTGCCAATAGAAATATACAGATGCGAAAATGCACGCGCCTCCACGGACATGGTATACTTCCTGAAATGCCTTTGGCCGTCATGTTAAGTCACGTGATAAGCCTCTACTGAGGTTTTCGTATTGTCGACACTGTAATACTGTATTAAGTTAACACTTCTTAAACTTATTCTGACTAGCAGTTCTTAAACATGTTTAAATAATTAATACGCTGAGACTCTTTGTAGATGTTTAGCAATACGGCCGTTTCACAATAGTGCGCCACCAAGAGTTTGCAACGCGTTGGCAAATCACAGTGCGCCAAATTTGTAAACTCAATGCGCGTGTGGAAAGAGTCAACAAATTTCGCGCGTTGTGATTGGCCAACGTGTTGCAAACTTTTAGTGGCGCTCTATTGTGAATCGCCCGTATTGAGTGTGGACATTAAGAATTAAACACGTAATGCCAAACTTAAACGTGTTTACGACCTGATGCCCAAATTTTGTCGACCAAAACTCAACACTGATTATCTCATTAGGTCTGTACCGTTGTGGGTGTAATAATTCAGTGCTTAGGGAGTGAAAGACGAAGACAAAAATATTGAGTTCACAAGAAGTTCGCAATTGAACCGCAGGATCTCTTTGACAAAATTGCAAAGAGGCGTGTAAATTCCTGGTATGTAACCCCGAGGCTGTACGTTATGTCATGTTTAAATCACATGTACATCCATGTATACTTGTCAAATGGAAGCACTTCGAATTGAAGTAAAATATAAGTGCTGTATATGCTTCATATTCAGTCAATGTATTCATTTGTTTTCTGAAAGTAAGTAGTAAGCTACTTAGTTCCCTGAAGCTGTGGCCAGGTGGAAACATTTGAGGGGGGTAACTCGTCAAGCTCCTTTAGTGAAAACTGCATTTCGCTGGTTCCCAAACAATTATTCCACTTCCATGGCTCTTTTCAACCGATGAGAATGTGCTTCTGTTCCAGGTGTCCAAACTTGACGAAAGATCATGCATGGTCATGTAAAAGCTATTTTCCTTGGACACTGAACACAAAATTGCTGCTCTGTTGAGGGGCATTGTTGTTAATTAAAGTGCTGCTGATAAAGTCTTGGGCCAAGACTAGTTTAAGATCGGTCATCCTGTGTCATTGGCTGTATATTATGGAGGCAGAATGGGACATTTTTGATTTACAAGAGAAATGTGAAAGAGCATATATGGCTCATGTACATGAAACATGAACATGTAACGAAGAAACTATTTCAACGTTATGATGGTGATGGCATCACTCTTCTCCTAAGGTTCTCGCTCATCAACTCTTTTGATTTCAACACAAATGGTGAAAGCTACGCAACAAAGCAGTCACCGTACATAAATTTGTTCCGTAAATTGGGGGTGGGGTGGGGGAATGGGGAAAGGTGGGGGGTAACTTGCCCGGATCTTTTAAATAATTGTTTTGCCTTTTTGAGTGATATTGAATGCATTTTAGTCGTTGGAAGTCTGAAACATTCTGCACGATCCGCTTTAATGTTTGTTCACCACAAAACGAGAGGAGGATTCAATACCCCTCCCCCCAAGTGAGGGGATAAATACCCCCCCATCTCCCAAGATTTACGCCCGTGGTTACTGGGGTACGTACTTAAGACCGAGGGTATTAGCTTTATGGAAAATTAATGAAAATTAAATTATTAAATATTAATTCACCAATACCAGTTTCCAACACGACTTTTTCATTCCAACCAAAAACTGAACTAGAAACGAGTCCACGAGGTTTGGCCTCGACCTGGACTTCGGTCTATGTGTGCACTCGCGTGCCAACTCATCATCAGGCTTCGTCAGTGAAGAGAGTCATGTGACAACAGTCGTATGGAATTTTCCCATGTCACTTGAAATTCTTAGTTCTGGGATTGTGGCTGCAGAAGTTCGGAATCATATTGTGCAGAAGCCTTTGACTGTGTCTGGTAAAAAAGGTGACCTACAGCTGACAGCAGCGGGATGAGGTTACCGTTGTTAACAACCATTCTGACCGCAGTAGTCATAAGAAGCAACGGACTGAGTAAGTTACCGTAATGTGCAAGTACTAAAAGAGTCCTCTATTATGCCAAAATTCGCGGGGCTTTTTAAAACGAGGTCGTGAAACTCCAGGCAGTAGTTAATGTGAACGTGCTTCGTCGAGATTATCCTCGAATCCAATTCTATATTCATATCCACATCTATTTGACACCGCTGACTTGTCCCGACTGAGTGTGGCTATCAAGATCAGGCTTGATTGAGGAATATTTATCACAAGCAGGGAGGCTTATATAGAGTTCAATTTCCTTGTAAATTGACCCAATCACTGCAGCCTTCACAAGTTCAAGCAGTGGTTAACCACACGTGTAGTATATAAAATAACTGACACGGGCTCATCGGTGTGGCAAGGCTGCCGATGGGTGTGTGTTTGTTTTTCTGTGTGAACTACACCTGTCATAATCTCAAGTCGTATGAAAAAGTCACAAAGCATCATCAAAACTGTCTTTTTTGCTTTTTTATTAAGTGTATTTCACTTTCGCGAAGAGAAAAAAGTTTGCATGGGCTTATTTGTGAGCAAGAGTGTGATGTCCCTACAATATTGGAACTACCTGTATTTCAGCAACAACCTTTGCAAGAGATTTGGACACTTTGCTATCGTATAAGTCTTTTCCATTGTAACTTGTTTGTCTAGTCATCCATTGTATTTTCGTCTTTGCAGTGAAGGTAGGGATAGGTCTGGTGTTAGTGGTTTTCACTTAGCCAATATTCTGCAAAGACTAACAAAGGAATCTTTTAATCATACGTGATCAGTGCAGTGGCGCATTCCTAGTGATAAAAACCAGGGGCGGATCCAGGAATCTTTTGGGGGGATCGGGGGATCAGATTATATTCTAATTAATGTCCGATCCTTGTGGACGGCAGATACATATGCATTTTGTTGTTCAACTGATGGATTTACCTTCAGACACGCGTTGCCAATTTCCTATTTATCTAACAAAGTACAAAATAATAACTCATTTAGGAATATCATCTTCCTTAATATTGCTATTAATTTAATTGTTGTTTTCATGTGTGTGTGTCAGGGCGGGGTGGGGGTTGACCCCAACCCTTCCCACGATCCGCACGTGAAGACTGCGAATTAACATCAATGCGGGAAACGCACGGCACTGGTATTCTGCACCCCTTCTTCACTCAGTGATATCCATGGTTTGAGCGTGAGGCCAAAATTGATTTTTTTTTTCAAAGTTTTTCTTCTTTAAAAAATATGCCCTCTCCCCGAAAGGTGGAAGTATCGTTTCGAAAGTATTAGCCTAGTGCTTTCAATTTCTTTAAAAAATGGCATCATCTAAATCGGAAAGAGTGAAATTAGGGACAAGACGTTTTAGAGTGAAAATCACTCTGAATTTAAACTAAAAAAGGCTGAAAATAGTCCTTTCCAGTGAAACTTCAATTTTTTGGAGTTAATAAATATCACTCTAATTCGTCTGGGCCATAATTTCAATTGGAGGGATTGAATTTTCACTCGAATAGAGTGAATTTTTACTCTTTGGAATCTTTGATTTCATCACCAGAAATGCTCAATTATAAGTAATAAAAATGATATTTACAAATTGCCCTCGGCCATCAGTGCCCTCATAATTAATATTCATAAGTGATATATGACGTTCGTGCTCAAGTTGACCTGATGACTTTGGAGATTTCAACTAAACACAAGCAAACAGAACTGAAACTATAATTAAAGTCCAGATTGTGTCCGTTGGAGTCGATCCAACTCCCCTTATCTCTGGGAATCGAGAAATTAATGAGCCACTTGAAATCTGACACAAATCGCACTCAAAGATTAGACTGAGCAATGTGCATCAGTCTGGACCATTAGTCCAAAAATAACAACCAAGTGTCTGATGCAAAATTAAATTGAAAACCATTGTCACGCAAAGGGCAAGTGAAAAGTGCACATCAAAAACGTGTGAACCGAGACCTGCGGGAAAAGGGTGTTTACCTTCTCGCGGCCCCGCTGGATGCAGCCTTCAAGATCTCAGCCAATGTGAGGGTTTATTTCAACTTCTTGGGATCGTAAATGCCTCCTTTGTCACACTAAGGGATCATTATGAGATGGAATAATGGTGAAATGGAACGATTCGGACAAATGTTCCTGGGAAACCGATCGAATTGCATGGGGTTTGGGTGGGTTTCGTGCCTGGGTCCCACGAGGGACAGGCGAGATAGTAAAAAGGTGTTAGTGACTTTTCCTGACGCAACACTGACGTCAGATGGCGGACACCCTTACTTGTGGGTACACAGTGGCCCGAGAGTAAACACAACATGTGACTAGAAGATGTCGCATAACTTATCCAATATTGGTCAATCAACTGCCATATTGATCAATTTACCTTTATGTATGAGGTTTTACGTATTGAAATGATTTGTATTCTTTTCTTCATGTGAACATTTTTTTAATGCCCTTCTTTCGATTTTCAAAAAGCCGCCGTCCTGCATAGCCATGGGCATGTAAAAGGTCAAGAATAAAAAACAACAAGTGTCCATACGATCAGACGGAAGGATATCACGATAAGATGGATGAAAAGGAGATGAACGGATATGAATCAAAATGACCTAAGCGCTTATAAAAGATCGAAAGTGGTGCCATATGCTAAATGTTGATGTTCATTATTTTTAAATCATCCACAAATACGGTATTACTTTTGAGGTCTGTTTTCAAATGTATAATTTTAAGTTCTTAATTGTACACTCTTGTCTGGTTTGCACAGGTCAGTATGACTTACGTCTCGTGGGAGGTAACAATAGTCTAGAGGGCCGAGTTGAGGTGTATGTGAATGGCACGTGGGGAACAGTCTGCGATCAGAAATGGGACTTGGTTGACGCCACAGTCACCTGTAGGCAGCTGGGCTACGGCATGGCTTGGTCAGCCGTTTATGGCGCTTATTTTGGCCAGGGCAGTGGCAAAATAGTTTTTGCCGATGTTGAGTGCCTAGGCTGGGAGGACAATCTTCACAGTTGCCTGATGAACACCTATAACAACTGTACACACTCCCAAGACGCTGGAGTTATTTGCACTGGAACAAATTATACCACAGGTGAATCAAAATGAATTCCCAACTAACCCTGAGTGATGGGGTTCTCATTTGTCTTGAGTATCAAGCCTTATAAAACAATGAAATTGAAATTGATTGCACAAGCAGTGTTGACAGATTTAATCACTGCGCTTTTAATCTCGATTTAACGTCAACAGAGTTTTTATCACTAATTGAATTAAAAGATTTTGAATTTTTTAATGGCAAAAATATTCGGATTTCTTTCCTTTTTCAGCTAGCGTAAAGCTTTTTTTTACGTTTTTTACTCTCGAAATATGTGGAAAATAGGGGCACAGAGCCATTTAATACCTTTCGATTGTTTTAATGATTTATCATAAAATTAATTTATGTAATTATAAAAAAGAGGCACTGGCTTAGTCAAATGGGACTTTCAATGCTCATTTTAGTAGGATAAGAAATATCGGTTAATACAAAGTAAAACAGAAACCACAGTAGCAATAGGTTCTTCATACATATTTTAACCAAGAATGAGGAAATTCATCAAGGTTTTTCCCCCTCCCCAGAAATTGTGTCCATTCCCAAATTGGTGTTGTTTCAGCCCTTTTTGGACGAAGTGTGAGTGTTTTATATTGTTCTTTTCTTAATCTCTTCAGGTCAGTATGCTGTAGGCCTTGCTTACGGCAGGAACCATCTTGAAGGCCGGTTGGTGGTTTTCAACATATCCGCTGATGGTCCAGGGGGAACAGTCTGCGATGCCGAGTGGGACTTGAACGACGCCGCTGTAGTGTGCAGGCAGCTCGGCTACGGCAGGGCTTCCGCTGCCGTTACTGGTGCTTTATTTTTTGGCTGGGGCAGCACCGAAATCGTGTTTAATAAGGTCAACTGCAAAGGTACGGAGAGCAGCTTACTGGATTGCCAGCTAAGCATCAGTGAAGACTGCAGTGGATCTTCGGGCGCTGGAGTCATCTGCACTGGTACAGATTATACCACAGGTAAATTGAGAAACACTCGACTCGAGGCGTAGTGACCGGGGACGTGGGGGTGCCGCACCCTCTCCCCCCCAGTAATTAACTCATTTATACATTTTGACTAAGGGGTTGAAGTTAATATTGCTAGTGGGATGTCTGTAAGTTAGAACTGATGGTAATACTAGTGGGTAATGACGACAAACTGTTTAATAATTTGTGGCTTTCTTATTCAGTGGTTTTGACAACTCTTTATGTCGGGGGAATGTCGAAGTTGTGCTTGTTGCTGTCCATTTTACAGGTCAGACACGGCTCGTGAATGGGACCGACGCCCTATCGGGCCTGGTGGAGGTGTATCTGAACGGTTCTTGGGGAACCGTCTGCGGTGAGGGATGGGATATCGCCGATGGCACGGTGGTGTGTGGGCAGATGGACTACGGCAAGGCTACAGAGGCCAATGGGTGGTTGGCTTTTGGCCCGGGAAAGGGTAATATGGTTTTGGATGGCATCTCCTGTACAGGAAAGGAAAACAACTTAATGGACTGCCCGAGGAACGCCTCTGTGCACGACTGTGACCCATCAAGACCCGCAACTGTAATGTGCTCTACTCCAAGTTAGTTTCAACCTCAAAAATTTCAACACATTCCATCGATCATGCAATGCAGACCAAACTTCAATAAAAATCGACCAATAATATCATTTCGACCGATGACTCAAGGAAAGTCGACCGATAATGTACTAACTGGAAATAACGAACCAGAGGGTAATGACAAGAATACCACGATTAATCATTTATTGCAAAACCATCGGGGGAACCTAGTATCAATTGAACAAAGTAAGGTGTGATTTGAACACCGTATAGGATATTATTTGATACTCACTGGTTGGCATTTTTTAACACTTTGCATAGCTATAATAGATCATTTTCAGTGCGTACAGAAAAGAAGACCCAATGGCACCAGTATCTTTTCTTGTTTGTTGTTTTTTTGTGTTTATTTGCTGTTTACTGCAGCCTGGAATGTGCAGTGCGCCCATGAGGGGATCGATCTCTAATTTGTTACATTCTTATTGGTAGCACCATCATCGACAGCAGCACAAACATTTATGCTTTGAGTTTGGAAACTAGACGCTGAACCTTTTAAAACTTGTTTCCCCTATTCTTACATTGTTTGTAGATAGGTTTGACCTACGGCTACGGAATGGAAGTAGCTACCTGGAGGGCCGCGTTGAGATGTACAAGAACGGTGTTTGGTGGATAGTCTGCGATGAAGGGTGGGATATCGTTGATGCCATGGTAACGTGCCGGCAGCTGGGTTACGGGAAGGCTACCTCTGCCCCTAGATCGGCATTTTTTGGAAACGGCAAGGGGTGGAAAGGTATGGGTCCCGTAAACTGCGACGGAACGGAAAGCAAGTTGCACTACTGTACACAGGAGACATTCCCTGATCCCTGTTACGCCGCCGGAGCTGTCTGCAGTCATGTAGGTACGAACGATCACGAACATTCCAAGTCTCGGAGGTGGTCTTTATATCTGACTTCAATTTCATGAGTTTAGTCTCTGCAGAGAAGACCTACCACCAAATATAGCTCCGATCCCAGTATTGGAAAGATAACATTGTCAAATATGAGGCCATGCAATAGGGTCTGTTCTTTTGATGTCAAAGTTGTTGTTTTTCCTACAAGTAGCTGCTAAAACTATATGGCTGGTCATCGGTACAAAGTAAAAACTGTAATTCACAAAGTATTACAAATCTCAAGTCACAACACCGGTCCGAAAATAATACACGTACAATGAAATGCTAACAATACAACCCTGTTTAAAATTAATGGGACAGATGTCTTTTCTGAAAGGTAAAATGTATTTAAGGTAAACTTGAAAACTAATCAAAGGGTGACATTTCTGGAAATTTGGCCTCCTGTACAAGTTGTAGGAAAAATACGAGCAGTTTATAAACCATATTCCGGGGACCCTAAATTAATCCCATGGAGAAAGAGCCCAGATTCGGAAAACGGCCCAGGTTCGACAAAAGAATTGAAAGTTAAAGTCTAGCTTTAAAGAAAGGCTGTTGAATGAAAGTCATGGATTCGATTCATTCACTTTCGGCTGCTTGCATTATCGCCCCTGGCCGGTCCAAGCCTACGAATTTGCAACCGCTCCATAACGCTTTTATTCCCTTCTCATAAAGTAGGTTTCTAACTTGTTAATTGCCGTGTCAAAGACTGTCTTGTTTGGCTAACAAATAACTGCTTGCCATGCCCATCATTTGACATTTTCCCTCAGATGAATATGACGTTCTACTCGTGGGTGGTAGCAGCACCCTGGAGGGCCGCGTGGAGGTGTACGTCAAAGGTCGTTGGGGAACAATCTGTAATGATCAGAACGGTTGGGGGATGAATGAAGCCAGCGTGGTATGTCGGCAGTTGGGCTTTCGAAGCGCTAAGAGGACTTCAGGATGGGCAGAATTTGAGCAGGGCACAGGAGATATCGTTCTGGGTAACGTCAGGTGCAATGGAACGGAAAGCAACTTACAGCAGTGTGTCCGGCATGAAGACCCTCCGATCTGTTGGCACAACCAGGTGGTAGGCGTGAAGTGTAGCTACGATGAAAGAGGTAGGAAGTACATGTAGGCATTAGATCATTCGCAGGAGCTTTGTTGAAGGTGGACCCAGAAACCGTTGAAGAGCCAAGTTAGACTGGCTCGTTCTCGTCCACAAAGGACCAAGGCATTTTCTGCTAAATATATTTTTCAAAGATTGAGCCCAACCATGCAAAAAAGGAGACAGTGATGACGAACTTCTGGAAATTCGAATGTAACTCCATTATGTGCCTTGACTTTGCTACTTTTACTGTAGTCTGATTTCTTAGCTTTCCCCCAACTCAGGGCCTTTTATTTAAGATTCTCTTGTGTATTACATTAGATTTAACAAAGAAAAGAAATCCAAACACACTGCCAATTCACATTAGACATTAATCAGTTACACTGCAAAGAAAAAAGGCCCCATTTAAGAGTAAATTTAGCAGAATTTCCGTTACAGGGGAAAATAATCTTTCCAAGGCATAATATCTTCTTAAATCGTCTTTAATTATATGACCCTCGAAACCACAGGTCTTTTGACAACAATTCGGTGTATTCCAAATAATTTTCACTTTGAAATATATTTACGCTTCATTGAGATTCAAGTGGCCTTTCACCTATGTCAAAAATCCACTGAACAACTCTCCACAAGATGTGCATATTAAACCAAAATGAAACAAGGGATTTATTCTGTTCTCATGTTTCAATTTTTTTCTGCAGCTGAACATGATGTCCAACTCATCAGTGGCTTTACCGGAAGGTTGGGACGAGTGGAGGTGTACGTTGACGGTACTTGGGGCACGATCTGCGGTGAGGGATGGGATATCGACGATGCTACGGTAGTGTGCTGGCAGCTGGGTTACGGCAAGCCTTCCTCAGCCCCTGGGTGGGGGAATTATGGACAAGGCAGTGGGGACATATACAGTGTTACTTGCAGAGGTACGGAGAGCATGCTGAGCAAATGTGCATGGGATGCAGTACACAACTGTAATCACTCGAAAGACGCCGTGGCTATCTGTAGCACACCAGGTAACCAACGTAGGAACTAATCATTATTTACGCTGCTTCTGTTTTTTTTACTGGAACATTTTCCAGACATTGTGCACCTCGAAAGATCACTACTAGGTGTACATTGTAAAGGGTTTGTGCGCATTTGCACTGACGGTGAATCTAAGCTTATGTTGCTATGGTTTTCTTTAGATGATTATGATGTGCGTCTTGTGGATGGAACCAATAAGCTGGAGGGGCGAGTGGAGGTGTATTTAGATGGGACTTGGGGTACTATCTGCGATGACGGTTGGGATATAAACGATGCCACGGTAGTGTGCAGGCAGCTTGGTTACGGTGGCGCTACCTCAGCCCTAAACGAGGCACGCTTTGGTCGAGGCAGTGGGGATATCAAATTGACAAACGTAGCTTGCTCGGCAGCACAGAAAAGCTTGTCCGATTGTCCAAAGAGTTATTCCACATATATTTGCAGCCATTTTGAGGATGCTGGAGTCGTCTGCAAAGAAAAGAATACCGCAGGTTTGCTGATTTGTTTTCACTCATGCTTTGCGCACACATTGCTTTTGTACCTTACCACTGGATATATTCATTCTCGCTGGCGAACATGTTATCGATTTAAACAAAATTTATGTTTTCCATGCCAAATTATTGTTTGTATTTGAGAAATTATCGTGATTACTTCCGAATTGATCTGCTTAATTGCACGTCATTATCTTGGCAACCATAATCAAATAACTGTATGCGCAGCAAAAGCTTCGGTGTTAATTAACGATGGCCAAGGATAACAATGGCATTAACACTGAAGTTTTGGCACTGCTTGTAAATATTTATAGATTTTATTCTTTTAACAGAAGAAGGATCTGTGCGATTGGTTGACGGGGCTTCACTCTACGAAGGGCGTGTGGAGATAAACTTAGGCGGGATATGGGGAACGATTTGCGATCGAAATGGTTATTGGGGTAAAGATGAAGCTGATGTTGTCTGTGGTCAGCTTGGTTACAGCTACGCTAAGTCGTCAAAGAAGGGTGAGTTTTTACTGCACGGATACACCCAAACGTTCTACACAATAAGCCTTTTGCGAGTAAAATTTGAGTAAAAGCGGATCTCGTGATTTGGGGAAAGCTTTTGCTTAGTTACCGGCACATAAGAGACATCCTGCACCTACACACCCTCTTCTGTCTTCAGATATAAGGCTTAGGTTGCGTAGTGTGTTGGGCATTGGCCATGAAATTAATATTGCATGGCTGGTTCTACGGTCTTCGTGCTGCTCATAATGTTCTTGCAGTTTGCCATCCATTCTCATCCTTTACGATTAGCATCACACAGAGACCACCCAGCTCACTGTTTTCATTGCCCACAGAAAATTTTAAAACTGTTCTGAGAAAACTACTTCGTTCTGGCAAAAAGAAATACCATTTGTCTTCTGTTTTCGAACAGCCCTAAGAATATTACATGTATCTCTCTGTGGCTAAAACCTCGTTGTGGCAGACTAGACTGTACAGCCAATCACTCTTTATGCCATTTTCAAAACAATGTCGCACTCGGATATGATAGGCCTAGTAATATTATTTACCCCTTTCCTCTGATTATTAATAAAACCTTATTATTTCAAGTATAAAAGTGAATGCCGCAATGATAGCGTTATCATTATTTTGTCCTGATTTTAGAGTACATTGGTACAGGGACTGCTCCTATCTTAATTGGTAGCGTGATCTGTTACGGTTACGAGAGCAAGTTGGATGACTGTTATTATAACTACTTTACGAGCTCATGTACTCATGAAGATGACGTCGGGGTGGAATGCAACCAACCGGGCTGTAAGTTTATCGCTGGGACTTGAAGGTCTTGCATTTTTAGCTTTGTAATTTTTGTTTCATTTCGACAGTTATATGCAGAAAAATATCGAACCTGAATGAAATATATGGGATTGTGTTTGAAGTACAGCCAAGAGGAGACAAGTAGGTATTGGAGAAAACGACTCATGTTTCGAAACAAAATCAATTATTGCATTCTAAATGAAACTGAAAAAATTGGCCTGATTATCGAGTCTATGCCAACGCCGTTTACTAAGGCCTGCTTTATTGAGGAATATTACCACACAACCATACGATGGCCAGCACCTGTGATATATGGTACAGCAGAAAGCTTCTTTTCTTTTTAAGAGCGGAGCAAGGGAGTCAGAATGGCATTCTTTCAGAATTTTCAAAAATCGATTTCACAGTACGACTTCCCTACAGCCTGATGTAACATTCTTTAACAAGGGTTAATTACTGGTACTCCGGTCGTTTTGGACTCGAAAAATTGTGAAAATGCACTCTGATTGTCTTTGGCCATTCTATTTACTCTGAACAAAGCATATCCTTACCATCCAGTATTTTTAAATGCGTATACAAAGCATGTAAACGTCTCTCTGTAGAATGAGACATGCATAATTTGACCAAAGAGATCTTAACTTTTGTTTATGAGATCCCAACTCTTGATATCACACGACGCCATTCTCACCGTTAATCCGTGTTCCCTCTCCCCGTATAGCTTGGTCCACAACAGCTATTGTGGCTATGGCCATCGGTGGGATTTTCGCTCTTGTTCTCCTGTTCAGTTTGGGTGTCAAGCTTTACAGGCCATCTGTCACACACTCGCCTGGGGTGCCACAGGTAGGTTACATTTTGTAATACCATATTTTGATCCTCGATGACGTTTTTTGACCAGGCGCGAATCTTGGGTGCGGGGCGGGGAATATAAAAAAAGTGACTAAAGTCAGTGCACCTGTACCATTGTCAACAATGTGTATCATGTAGTTTCTTCATGCGTTTCTGAATGTCCGCATGAGATATTATAATGAGATATTAAAATAAATTTCCAGCCTACCCACCCCCCTTGGAAAAATTCATGGATCCGCCCCTGTTGACGCCTGCGGATGTGAAGACATTTTTGGCTGCTTTTCTTATATTACTTTAATAATTATTCACTTTTCGGGATACTGTTCCCCTGGATCCAAATGCGGAGTCCTATCTTTGAGCTTTGCTCTTTACAAACAACTTAGCGGCTACAAGCACCTTGATCTGATGGACAGTAACGTCTCCTCAGGCAGGATTCAAGACTACGACTCCCTTTTATCACACATTCATTGTTCTTGCTGGGATTGGATTGACACTGAATGTTGAAGTCACACCTATAAAAAGAATAACAGCTGAATTCAATTCCAAGGCCGTGTCCGAAACGGGCTTCCA